GGCCTCCCTCCAACCCCGGGGCTCCAGACCCCCACCGCCAGCGGCCAGCTTGCTCTGCACGGTGGCGCCGGTGCCTTGTTTACCAGGTAATCCGCAGTTGTTATAGACAATGTGGGTATGAAATAAACAAAATATCACCTGTAGTCACCTACCCAAGTGAACTACCCTTAAGACTTTAGTGAAGATCCTTCCAGGACGTTTCCCTGACAGGATGTGCAGGTCAGTAAGTTGGTCAGGGTGTGGAGGAGCTTTCCCAATGGGCTTTTTTGGACTGGGAGGCTTGAGCCGTTTCCTGCCTTCCCTTCTCTTCCCCTGGCCGTTTGCCGTGCCTGTCCCTGATCACGTCTGACAATGCACCGCGTGTCTGCCCGGCCGCAGGTGCTATGCACCTGCACTCACCCGCACACCACCCACCACACACGCATGCTCTTGTGCAGGCGCACGTGCATGCACAAGTAGAAACACACATGCGTGCGAGCGCCCACGCACAGTTACTGTACACACTGGGTTTCTTTACCCCAGCTCTGCTCCAGGTTTCTGGGACGATGTTGTCTGTACTTGGAGCAAGGAGGGATGGCCTTCAGGCTGGGGCCAGTCTCCTGGGGCAGGGACAGGGGAGCAGGTTTCCTCTATTCACAACAAAAGGGGTGTCCGTGCTAGCTTGCCTGGATGCTAGGTCACAAGCTGTTGGAGCCTATGGCCTTCAGGCTGGGGCCAGTCTCCTGGGGCAGGGACAGGGGAGCAGGTTTCCTCTATTCGCAACAAAAGGGGTGTCCGTGCTAGCTTGCCTGGATGCTAGGTCACAAGCTGTTGGAGCCCGGTAGCTGCTCACCCAGAGGGTTTGAGCAGGACCGAGAGGCGGCATCAGGACACAGAGCACACCACAAGGCCAGAGGGATCCTGTCCCCCCCCCGAATGGGTCACCCTGATGGGAGCCACAGCAGGGCAGCTCTGTGGGGTCAGGGACCCAGCCCCACTCACAGATGAGGGAGGCAGGGAGAGGAGACGGGGTGGGGGGCTGGGTTCAGACCCCCCTGCATCCTCAGGACTCAGCACCCCAAGCTCACTCGCTCCTGCCCTTGTACCCTGCCAGGCAGTGACCCCCTCAGGGCAGGAACTGGTCAGAGCCCTGTGGGGCTGGGCTCGGCCTCTACCCACAAGTCCTGAGGGTGGTGCCAGCTGCAAGCATAGACAGAGCTGAGGGTCCAACTGTACTCCCTGGGCCCCAGGGCCTGGGTGTCCAGGCTTCCTCAGGGACACAGTGGGGGCTGTGCGGGGGTCCCAGGAAGCCTGGGACTTGAGAAGGCAGTGACTCTGCTAGGGCTGGTTTCCGCTTCCGTGAAGCGGCCGCTCTGCAGGCAGTCCCTCCCTGGGCAGAGCTCCTGCAGCTCAGGCCATGCATGCACACGTGTGGGTGGGGGCTGCAGGAAGTGTGTGGGGGGAGGTGTGAGCGTGTGCACCCATGTAGGTAAGGCTGGAGGGATGTGCACACATGCAGGTGGGATATGGGCAGGTGCATGCACACGTGCGTGGGGAGGGGGCCTGCATTCCTGAGCCCGCCGTAGGAGGGTCACAGAGGGGAACAGCCATGCCCTCTAGCTGCTTGGCTGGCACAGCCTCTCACACCCAGACCCCTTGGCCCCACAGCTGGCGGAGATCCACGGCGTGCCCCGCGGCCTCTATGACGGGCCGGTCCATGAAGTGATGGTGCCTGCCAAGCCAGGGAGCGGCACCCAGGCCCGCGCATCCTGCCCGGGCAAGATTTCTGTCCCACCTGTGCGTAATCTTCACCAGTCAGGGTTCAGCCTGTCTGGTGAGTTGACCCTGGGGGTGGAGGGCTCTGCTGCTGGAGCATCCTGAGGCCCCTGGGGCCGCTGGGCCTCAGGTACCAGGGCCTGGCCTATGCCGGGAGGGTTGGTGAGCTCGGCCGAGGCTGCAGAGCCCGGCCACACTACACCTGCATAGAGGCAGCTCCCAGGGCAGGGGTATGAGCTCCTCCAGGGAAGGCCCTTCTTGCCCCAGCACCTGCCCCAGAGGAGCAGTGACAAAGCCCCCACCTAGAGTCCAGCACGTGGGGTGGGGTGGGGCTGTCACTTTGAGCCCGGGGGGAGCCTAGGCTGTGCAGCCTCCACGGGGGGGCCAAGGCCTCTCTGCCGGGACCTGAATGTCACGTGGGAGCCCAGTTCCCCAGCCCAGCCAGCCCCAGAATCACTTGTGAGGCATAAGAAAGGGGTCTGAGGTACATCCTTAGGCACGCAGGGACTTGCTGCAGAGCCTTGGGGACTCAGAGGGACCCAAGGTGCGGGCACCAGTATCGGCCTCTTGTCAGCGTCTCAGCTGAGCATCCAGCGCACAATGCAAATGAGGTTGTCCCAGAAGCGCCGAGCCCCAGGCCCTCCCTGCAAACCAAAGCAGACCCTCCCCATCTCTTTCCCTGCCCTTGGGTGAGAGCTGAGCCACCCCTGATGTCCTGTCTCATGGGAGGTGATGGCAATCCCTGCACACCTCCTGGGGACCTCAGGGTCCAGCACTGTCTTGGAGCTGCGGACAGCCTTCTCCCATGCCACACGGCCCACAGGACGGATGGACAGGACAGGCTTTCTGGAGGGTCAGCCTTGACCTCCAGTCCTCACAGGTCCGAGGGGTCTGTCGGGCACATCTCTGTGCCCCTGGGGCCTCAGGAAGGGAGCACCTGCCTGGTCGGCTGCCTGGTCTACCAGCCGCGCGGTCAGGGAATAAAGCTGACCTTGGTGAATGGGGCACGGGGCCCTGCAGTGCTGGCCTCACAGACCCAGCCGGCCATGCCTGTGTCCCCCTCTCAGGCAGAGGGGAACCCCCCGGTCTGTCGGGCACATCTCTGTGCCCCTGGGGCCTCAGGAAGGGAGCACCTGCCTGGTCGGCCGCCTGGTCTACCAGCCGCGCGGTCAGGGAACAAAGCTGACCTTGGTGAATGGGGGCGCGGGGCCCTGCAGTGCTGGCCTCACAGACCCAGCCGGCCATGCCTGTGTCCCCCTCTCAGGCAGAGGGGAACCCCCCTTTTGTCCTCCTTCCCACGCCCACCCCTTGCCCTTTCTTCAGGATCGCAGGCGGACGACCACATCGCCAGGCGCACGGCTCAGAAGATCATGGCGCCCCCGGGCGGACGCTCCAACATCACCTCTCTTTCCTAGATGTCCCGGGACTGCGACCCAGCACACTGGTGCAGTCCCCACCCCGGGCAGGTGGCCGTGGGAACCGCTGGCCTCAGTTAGCTTTTTCCTTCTTAGAAGTTATTTTGAAAGGTGCCGGCCTTGCCTTCCCCTCCCCACATGCTCTCCTGTTGGGGTCCTGGGTCCTGCTGTGAGGAGCCCCCTCGAGGACAGGACTGAGTTTGGGTAGATCTCACTGCCAGGGTGAGGCGGCTGGATGCAGCAGGGACAGCTCAGGTGGCCCGTGCCCAGCTGCTGGGTGGCCTGACGCTCGCTCAGCCTAGGGCTGCGGGACTCCACTGGGTGCTGCACCCGATGGAAAGCCGGGCTCCACCGAGTCCAGGCGGCCTCTCCCCTTAGGAATCACTGCCCCGCGGAAGCCCCCGCGCTCCTGTCTGCTCCTCACCTGTCCGCCCTCGCGGAGCTGCTGTGACTTCAGGGACCCATTGGGAATTTAGTGTAGAGTAGCTCCCGCCCGCCTAGGGGCTGGTTTGTACACGTTTCCAAGGTTTCGTAGTAGCCCATCTCCAGGGACATTTTATGATCCTTTAGCTAAGATGCCCTTTTACTACAAGATGTGTATTCCAATAGATTTATTAGAGTGACGGTTTGTACAGTGACGACGCCTATAGCCAGGAGTCTGCGCATGCCTCCCGCAGCCCGCCGGGCCGCCGCCCCGAGTCTGACGTGAATTGGGTCAATTAAAGACGTCTGGGCTCGAAGCTGCCTGTGTGTGGAGAGCTCCAGCGTCCCTTCCCCCACTCCCCGCCCCGGTGGCCTGTGTGCGAGCCCCGGGGAGCCCCCTGCTGCCCCCGCTGGCCTCGTCCGGGGCTGGACCGCCACGTGCTGCTGGGAGAACTCTGTTCCGTCCTGCGGGCCCGGGTCAGGGCTGGGTCTGAATGCTGAGGAGGGGGCTCTTCCCCTCAGGAAAAGGGGGCCTGCAGGGCAGCAGACAGCCAGGGGGTCAGAGGGCTGTGGGTCACAAGGTCTACCAGGAGGCTGGCAGCAGCACGTGGAACCGTGAGGCCCACGCCTCCCGCAGCCTGAGACAGACACACACAGCAGGGCTCTGACCCAGAACGTTCTAGACGTCAGACCCGCTGGGCTGGCCGCCTGGCCTCAGCCTCTTTCTCGTAAAAACGGTGCCAGTTCTGGACTCCAGGCGTGGCATGTTCTTAGAGGGAGTTCTCCACCCCAAGAGCAGGGGCCCGCCACAGTCGCTGGGCACTGATGGAAGACAGGCCGGGCAGGGCCGCTCCCGCAGGCATCGGTTCTCTGTGGGAACCAAGGAGCATCTCTCGCCACGGTCCCTGGGACCACAGGCAGGCAGGCTTCAATCTGGGCCTCTCATAAAGCTCCACGGTCCTGGCGGCCCCCTGCAGAAGGCCCTCCTGGTGGCCCGCCCGCCTCATTCCCAGGGCTCCCCTCGCCCACATGTGCTTGGTTACTGAGGCCTCAGACTGGATCTCTGGGGCTCCCCTGAGGCTGATGTCCACTGTGCCGTGTCCCCCACTCCCTGCAGCAAGGAGAGGAGACGATCAAGGGAAGCAAATGGCACCCATGTCCCTGTGGCAAGGAAAGGACAGGTGCGCCATCCCCCCATGATCCCCAAAACACATGCTACAATTCACACGTTTATGCAAAACCCAAACTTCCCCTCCTCCCGTCCCTGCCTCTGACACCACCAGGTTTCATGCAGAACGCGGCCACCGCTGCGCCCTCTCTGGTGCCAGCCCCTCTTCTGATGGGAGCTTGGGCGCTGTGTCCCTCTGCCGTGTCCCTCAGTGTGCTGAACCTCTGGGGTCCAGGCCTCGTGTAGTCCTGATGGTTGGTTCCCGCCGCATCTCAGAGGGTGGGGGGCAGGTGGGGGACAGGGAGCAGCCGCCTCTGCCCCCGACTCTGACTCTGCTCCTGGCACAGCCAGTTCTTCCCCAGATACGCGATGGTCATTTTGGTCCCTTGTCATTTTACAGCCCGGTGCAGTGGGGACGGCAGTGTTTGCTGGGGGTGGAGCTGAGCACAGCAGACACAGGCCCAGACACGCCCTTCCATGGTGTCTGGTTTGGCAAGCTGCCCTGGGAGGGCACAAACACGACACCCCGATTCCTCTGAAGCAAACCAGTGCAGGCCTCTCTGGGGCCCTGGGGTGATGGGGCTGAGCCCACCCTTGGGACAGGAGAGAAGCCTGTGGCCTGTTCACCCCGAGTTTCTGTTCTGATGACAAAACCCCCAGCAGCACCGGGAGGGGATGTCTCGTCTCCACCAGGGACGGCCCAGCCCTGAGGCGCAATTTGCAGGACGTGAGGAGGCTGGGAGCGCTGTGGGGCTGTGTCCCCGC